TTTGTGGTTGTTTTGTTTGACTTTATAGCCATTTTGTGTATCTGTAGCTTTGTTTCTGCCTCTCTGTTGTCGTTTTGCATTTCTTTGTGGTCGTTTTGTTTATCTATGTCATCCTTTTGTGTCCTTTGCACCTCTTTCTAGCTGTTTGTAGTTGTTTTTTGTCTGTTGCTTACCAACCTGTGGACATTTTGTTTCTCTTTGAGGTTGTTTGATGTCTCTTTGTGACCATTATGTGTGACTTTGTGCTCATTTTATATCAATTTATAGTCATTTCGCATTTCTCAGTAGTTGTTTGATTGACCTTTTGATTTTCCAACAATAGAAGTTTACAGCCACTTCAAAACAGAGGCTCTGGGCCCCCCCCCCCCAACCCTTCGGACACCTGTGCCTATGTCCAGTAAGCCCATTCAGTAATCCATCAATGTGCACAGGAAGCCTCTTCTTTTTTAATCAAATCAAGCCAAAAATACTTGATTTCACTGAAACAATTCTAAAAACTAACTCTAAACTTTCATATTTAAAGTCTTAGCATGTAGCATTTAGCATCATGGTATTAGAAGGATAGCAGAGAAAATGTCTGATTGAGATCAGGTAATGTGACATTGCAGTTATGCACGTGGCGTGGTGTAATGTCACTGGAATAAAGTCAGAACAGGGTGTCAAATGCATCACTGTATTGATTACATACAGTATACTGGGCTGTGAATTATGCTGCGCTCTGCTATAGTAAAGCATCATATATCTGGATGTAATGCATGCTATTGACTGGCTGTTACACGCTGAGCTGCAGCATGTTTGCTGGATTTATGATGATGGGTACTTGTTGGCACAAAAGCACATGGACTTTTATCTTTACGAGGACATCCCATTTCCTACATTCAGATCCTGAACTATTATAAATAAAATAATAATACGTTTTTCTCTCTCGCTCTCTCATTTTTTATTAGTCATATTGGGTAAATTATGCATGAACTTCACTAAAATTAGAAACTGGCATCATTCCTCTAATGTGATCTCTGAACAGTAACACTGTCACTGCTGTTCTGAAATCTGATGTCTCAGCATTTGGCGTGATTGGACGATATATAAACTATCAGAGCAACAACGGACGCGATCTACAGCCTTGTTATCTGCTTTCGGTTCCCGCTGCTTCAAACTAAAGCTGATTTTATCTTCATTTTAAAATGGCATTTAATATGGTTTTAAAGAGCTGAGAATCTATATGATATATGCATCTTTATGCATTTTTTATGTTTTATATTGCTTTTGAGTAATGCAAAATATTATTCGTATAGTTGAAACGAAAACAGGAAATGTGGGGCACTGTGACGACATGTGACCATTTTCTTCATACTAAAAACAAACGGTAACAGCAAAATGTGCCTTTTTTCCCCTGCAGCACTGGCTGGGTTGAGTTCTTACCACCTCTGCACAAACATGCTGGTGCAAGTCTCAGGTCAAAACCACAAACTGATTCTCAAAACGATATCAAAAACAAGAACGCACACGCACAGCAGATCAATCTCCATTAGTCTTAGAAATCCAATGTAGTCAGTTAGAGTTAGAGTTTTTTTTACCGAGTCAGCCAATTATCAAATCTCCAAGGTCACATTCGCTTTGATTACAGTGCAGCAACAAAACATTGCAAGGTGTGGGTGTGGGTGTGGGTGGGTGTGTGTGTGTGTGTGCGTGCATGTGTGTGAGACACACACAACAGCTCACACAGTAAGAGAGGGGCTGAGCTGTGCATTCAGTTTTTCAGAGCAACTTTCACTAACCTGTGTACCAAAAATATCTTCATGATGAACCACAAAAACTGTATTCTACATTTGAAAATGTGATCGATTTGATGAAACCTCTAACAGTTACCTGCAAAAAGTGACTCTTTGTGACTTGTATGACATGAAATCTGCTCCGCTGACGCACCCAAAAGCTCGTCCCGATTCAGTGGCCGAGTCAGTGGCGCCAGCAGGTTTATATTTCATAGTGCGCACAAGAACCACCTGTCCACTTGTAGGCTAGCTTTAGATTTCCCACACACAAACATATGTCTACTCGTCCAGTGAGTGAGCGAGCAAGAGAGACTGAGACTGATTTGTGCATTTTAGTGCTAAAGTTATGACACGACACCACCATAAAACTCTGATTAGCTGACCACATGCTTTTTAAAGAACGACCAACAGGCCAGAAAAACCACTGCCAGCAACAGGCTACAATTAACTATTATATACTATATTGAATATCCAAGAGAAACGTGCAGTAAGAGTTGACATTAAGCAACGGATTCCCTCATTCAGCATCATCATCATCATAGGAACAGTTGTCTAACTAACTAAGTTAGTAATAACAATATGCACCAGCAAGACCAAACCAAACAATCAAAAAGCCACATGAGACAATACAATGAAATAGTATTCCTGCCTATTTGAAGTTCATTCGTTTGACGGCCTCAATTCCAGTATCGTGATGGATGTTCATCAACGCTCTACACCTGCCGTGTCAACACTGAGCATCGAAGCACCAAACTCCTGCTTTATCTCCTGCTCTCCTCTTCAATCTAGACTCATAACGTTAGTGACTGGATGCAGCCAAAAAATAAGACAGGATCTCCTGTTGTAACAATTTTATTTTCAATATAGGATGTTGAAAAAATTTTAAATGTGCGCACAGTGCGTCCAGGATTGCGGCTGCCGGCGCCACTGGCCCAAGTGAAATGGAAATGGCACGCCCGGTCATCGAGGTGCCATCGCTGCATCGGTATAATTATTTAGCTACTCTACCACTGAGGAGCTGAATTAATCTAATACTGTCAGGATGTCATGTCACAGTTGATAAGAATTAGCACCTCCTTAACAAGTGCGCCAACAGTCTGTCGCTCTAACAAGTGCAGCAACAGGCGGGGAACAAAATGAGGCGAGGCGCGACCGAGGACTGAAAGGCAGGGCTGCTCTGATGTTGCTGAAAAGTAAACAGCACACACATTTACATACACACACACACACACACACACACATTTATGACGCATTTTAGCACATATGCAGCCATATACACTCATACACACACACTCTAATGCACAAATGCACTCACCCACGTGTACACAAACAAACAAAGGGATACACAAACACTAATCCGCTCAAACCATTGTTGTCACTGAAGCGTAATCCTGGAGTCGATGACTAACTTAATCTAAGTCACATGACTGTAGGTCCACACAATCTAATCAACACACACACGCACACAGAACTTACAAAGAACTAATCATAGCATTGTAAAGTGTGACTGACAGCTGGTGAATGTAAGATACAGAGACACCGCCAGCAGTAGTTTCATTCGGCCAATGGGAAGGGAGCTGCATTATGACATCACTATTTTTCACTGAGGTCATTCAAAGAAAGGTGGAGCCTTATAACTTTTCTGACCCATAGAGAGAGTTTGCTACCGTTTATAAAGCTACATTTCAAAATCTTACATAGTAAATATCTCGCGTCTTGAGTCGCGTTTGCCGATAAATTTAAAAGAAATAAATCGTTATTTAAAAAAATATTAATTTTCTACTGGATAACTCAATATAAAATATAGAAAAAATATACACAAGGTAAAAATGTTACTATGTAGCCATGGCTTTCACCTATAACTCTCTGAGCCTGAAACCATGGCAACCTCCTGTACTTTTCTCCCGCCCTTATATGGACATGCACATCACATCACAACACACCACATTACAGCCGTGTCCGATGAGATTACCCAATCAATACCAGACTGATATCCAATATCATTATCCGCTCCAGGAACAAACGCGGCATTATGGGATGCCATCCCCTTGACGACAGGGGTTGCCGGGTATCCCACGTCTCCTATTGATCCAAGTGTGATTCACAGTTGACGGTCAATGAAGGTAATGGATTTCAAAACGTATTCGAACATGATAATAATTTGGGCCGGTGTCATCTGTGTGCTCGCATTTGAAATAATGCATTTCTCATTGTGGATATTAGCTCATCAATAACTAATGAGGCAGATTTGTGAGTGTGTGTTTGTTTTCCAGTAAGAGGCCAATAACGCACCGTCAATATCTTACAGTAAAACACAGTTCAGAGGCTAACACGTAGCTATCAAAAGGTCCAGTAATAGAGGAAGCTGTTACTCTGTGATTATTTCCGATCGATTGTCAAAGATCTGAACACAACGCATCATCACAGTGACAGCAAGAGAGAAAAATGACGCAGGCAGGAAGTGGACCAGGCCTGAGCAGGAAGTCAGCTGACTTCAGCAGACTCAGACGAGCTGCAGATAAGATCAGGGTCTGATTAAAGTGACGAAGTTACACCAGCGTGAGAGAGAGAGAGATGATCGAACAGAGAAAAGACACAGATAAAGGGAAAGGATCATTCAATGGGCCGATTGATGCAGTTAACAAGCTGTAGATAAAAGCAGGTGTCCTTCAAATGGCTTCAAATCCAAAGGCACACATCCATTCTTTGGCGAGATGTTTAAATTTTAAATCAGCTCTTAAATAAATGAGTGGCTCAAGTGTTTAATCGAGGTTCCCAGAGTGGCCCTGATGAAAAATTCCATAACTTTTCCATGACTTTCCCTTCGTTAGTTAAAAGCACTTCCATGAACCTAAAAATGTGATCCCTCCCTGGTTTGCTAATATGGCTTTTTACCTCGGAGGAGTCTCTCGAAGGGGTGCGACATTTCAAAAATGTAGAAAAACAGCAAGAAATACGCTCTCTGTAATACAAGTAAAATATAATTATCTGATATCACCTGACACTTCCCAGAGATTTTATCCAGTTTCCTGACTTTTCCCTGTGTTCAACACAAAGCTGTCAACGTTCAGTAATATTCCAGAAGCTCTCTGACCCCTGGGAACCTCGTTTAATGGATAAAACACAGCATAGGGGCCACAATCCCACCTCCACACACACACACACACACACACACACACACACACACACATACAAATATTCTCTTTTCACTCTCACGTCTTCTCCTACCTTGGCCCTTATTTGTCCCGAGGTCGACACTTTGCGGATCAGTTTGTGTGACGTTTCTTCTTGTTCCCCGTCGCTGTCTGATGACTCTTCTCCAGCTTCTCCAGCCTAAAAAAACAGGAAAGAAAGGAAGAATTACCGACATTTTTTTTTCCCAGATATTACTAATATTCAACATGAAAGTGCAAATGAACTGACTTTTAACTCAGAAATCACACTAAAGGACATCAGCGACCAAAAGTCTATCTTCTTAGAGCGTAGTGGAAAGGTTCAGCCATTGAATGCCGAGTTTAGTTTTCACTGCTTGTGAGAAAAATCTCTTTTCTTGGCACTCGTACTGTCTTTATGTTAACAATTCTGACCACACTCAAGGTGTAAGAGGTTTCAGCTAAATCTATTTACTGATCTGCAGCAACCGAGTTTCCTGTTGGTTCACAACGCCCTACATAATACTGGTACTATCATGAGATAGGCTGCAACTGCTGGGTCAAATTGATTAAAACAAGAACAGAAAAAAGGGCAGAAACTTGAAAATCTGCCAAAAAAAAAGTATTTTCTCACGCAGAAATAACATAACTTTTTAAAGCTCTGGTGTTAAGAGAGAATTTCACTTGTACAATAAGCTACTTCAGGGCACAACCATAGCCAGGATTTTAAGTCATCAGTTCATGCAGGACCTTCACTAGAACTGCAATCATTATTTGTTTAATCAATCAACACAAGAAAAAAAGAAAAATCTAATAATTCAAGTTTTTTTATTTTATTTATTTTTTTTTTTTATACTTAAATTGGAAAGATTTACTGGTTTCAGCTTTTTACCAAATGATTAATCATGAAATAAATCGGTAGATACACTAAATAATACATAATAAAAATAATCATCAGTTGTAGCCCTCGACCTGAAAACACTTTTGCAGAGACCTTTTGTAAAATTTTCAATTCAATAAAACATTAATGAAAATGCAAACTGCACTTCAGGTCCCCGAATAAAAATACTGAGGACTTGACCTCAGTGTATCCTATTCTAGTGTTTCCTAGCAGGTTTTCAAATGAAGGATAAAGAGAAGCCGAGGTGTCTGAATACCTGGATTCAACTTTTCTGGCATTTTGCAATGTGGGAACTCTGCTTATAAAAACACTGTAAATTAAGTTGGACGGGAAGTTTAAATGCACCAAAATACATTATGACCACTAAATGTTCTCGACCAACGTCACACATATTTGGACACAGGGTTGTGTTCTCATTCATCACTTCCTGTTTGCTAAGAACACCCAACTGCTTCCTTTGATAGTAATTGAGCCATAGAGCGAAGATTTATCTCTAATGAATTCTTTTTTTTTTTTCCATCCAAAGGCACTTTAAAGACGGTTCTACAGATGGTTGTCGCAGCTGAGTCACTGAACTTGAGAGAAGAGTTTTTAAATCATCTCTACAGGAACAGGCAGGTGTTGGATTGAAAAAACAAGTTTTGCACAGCGGTAAAACTGACTCTAACAAACATATCATTTAAATATTGTTCATACATGTTGAAGATATAGATTACAGATCATAAAATGATGTGTAATCACCCAAACTAACATTTAAAAAAATAAGTAAATAAATAAAAAAAAAAGGTACCAACGATATGGTTTAAATGTGATTTTCTTCCGGATTTAAGTTGCGCACTTAACATGCAAGTTCCAGAGAAGTGTAAAAGAAAGATGGTGGGCTGCCTCTTTTGTTTATAAAAAAAATAATAATAATCTGGAGGTGGGTGAGGATTAGCTGGCACCTCATAACACACAGCATTCACTCCCTGATGTAGAAGTGAAACCATTGCGTCATCAGGACAGAGAAAGTAGCGTTGGAGACTTTTCCCTGCTGCAGCTTCACTTAGTTGATTCATATCGTCACATTATAAAATCTGGCCTTTTGTAGCTTTAAATACATAGACTTCATTGAACAGTACTTACAATATGAGTCCTCTCAGAGTCTGCTTGGGGCGAGCCCAGCGACTCGCCCGGCTCCGCCACATACAGGACGTTGGGGTTCAGTTTGGACGCCATGATGAGTCAAAGGCGAAGGAGCAGAGAGGGAAGAGCAGTAAAAGAGAGAGAGAAAGTGAGAGGACACTGGTGTGGAAGATGTAGAGAAGGATGAGAAGTTTGCCAGTTGCAGAGGAGGAGGAGTTCTGAATAAAAGAGGAGAAGAAGAAGAAGAAGAAGAAGAAGAAGAGAAGGAAGGTGGAGGGAAGAGTGGAGTTTGGCGAGATGTGAATGCTTGGCTAAGCAGAAGAAGAGAGGAGAGGATGACAAACGGGACGGCAGGCTCTGGGACGCCACACTCGTCCTCTTTTTCCAATCCCTCTATCCAGGGCCAGCTCTAGAAAAGATGGAGGAATGAATTATTGATTAACAGAGAAAAGCTCACTGGAGTTTTTATTATTATTATTATTATTATTATTATTATTATTATTAGGAGGGGGGATTGGCAGCTCCCTCGCTGGAAGTTCAGAACATATAAACAACTGTCTTTCCCCAACTCTTACTAGTTTTTCCTACTCCTCCTCCGTCGTACTATTTCAGTTAAAGAGCTAAAGAGACAATGACAGCCGCTTCCCGTTCTCGCTTGTTCTTTGCTTCTTGCTGCATGTGTGTGTATGTGTGTGTGAGACAAAACAGTTTGAGGTTAACAGTTCAGCCCTGTGTTTCTAAAATAGAGCCATAGAGATGCAATGGCAGCCCTTTAGGCAAGTGACAAACACACCATGATGATGATGATGATGATGATGATGATGGTGGTGGTGGTGGTGGTGATGAAGACAAGGGCAAACAAGTGTACAAGGATAAACACAACAGCAGCGATGATGAAGATGAAGATGAAGATGATGATATGGCTCATTACAGGCGGACAAACTCTGCATGATACAGTTTGCCCTGCAACAGCACCAGATATGGGAGCGTCTGCATGCCTTCATAACCGCACACACGTGTACGCACGCGCACGCGGAGCGGCCAAATAAAGTGAATGTATATGTGTAGGCTATGTGTTTCTGCGTGTGCGTTTCCTTGATTACGATGTGGACACGTTATTCAAAAAAAAAAAAAAAAACCTGTCTGCATCTCACTTCACTGCCGCCCCTCGAGGACACCAAACTTAAATGTCAAAAACAGACTCGGGTACAAACAGTGTGCGTGTGTGAGTGTTTCTTTTATTTTTTTTTTTTTTAAAAAAAAGCCTGGTAATCATATTTATGTGGCTTTCAGGTTTGAGAAATTAATTTAAGCAAAAACCAAAACGGATGCACAACAGGCTGTCGAGCGCCTCAGCTCAGCCTGATCATTCATTCCGTCCATATCGCTGTTTACTGGAGGAGCTCGCGGCGGACACACAAAAATAAATATCAATATTCAATTTAACTCCTGCACGTTCGTCAAATTGGGCTCGGTCGGCTCAGCTGTCAACAACGCGAAGACATTTATCAGCGACCTGGACGGCCACCGTTACCGCGCGGCCACCTCCTCTGCACAAATGAACCCTCCGTGTGCTCTCATGTGTCGATGAAACATAGATATTGTTTACCTTGGCCGGTTAAATTTCTTCCCTCTTCTCCCCCGGCGGAGGTCAATCAGCGTCGGCGTGTTCCTGCTCCTGTTGGCCGGCCTTGGTCGCTCGTCAGCCGGCGTTTGGTTGCTCGCCGGCGGTCAGCAGCAGCGGCGGCGGCGGCGTGCGGGTCTCTCCGGTGGTGCTCGCCTTGCAGAGAGAGACGCGGTCATACGCATAGCGTCGGAGCGGATCTGAATCAGGTAGGAAGAGGAGGGAGGGGAAAGGAGGGGAGGGGAGGGAGGTGGGGGAGGAAGAGGAGGTAGCAGGGGACGAGAGAGAGAGAGAGAGAGAGAGAGAGAGAGAGATTTGAAAGCGGCCGTGTTGAGTCGACTCGAATCGCTGTTCTGAGGTTAAACGGAGAGCAAATAACGCGCACACGCACGCATGCGCCCGCGAGTAGGAGGGCGCGAGGCAGACACGGGCCTAATATACACACAAGGAGACACAGGAACACCAATCAACATACACACATCAACAAGTAAGGGCCACTAGGTGAAGAAGAGGAGCAGTTAGAGCTCTAAGAAAAACAGGTTTGATGGAAATCTGATCTTAGTTCTCACACTTGACAACATTGAGGCACTTAACAATAGGTACCTATAGTATTACAGCATTGCCAAGTATTGATTTGTAAAGTTAAAATCGATTAATATCACATTAAGGTGTTTGTTTTCACTGAAGCTGCACAGCTGGTTTAAAAAGCCTGCATGGATCTGTGGCTCTGTGCTCTGCAGAGATAGATTCATGTGGAAAATATAAATCCTAAATGACAGATTAGGATGCTGTGTTTATGACAAAAGCTAACATGAAGAAAGGGTTAAATCTCTTTGAATTGTTTCCTTTGTGGTTCCATGTGCTTACTTGCTGCTGCAGTCTATATTTAGCACTTTTAGAACTGACTTTTTTGGAAGTGTTCAGTTGGTATTTGGTGTTTACTGATGCACTGAATCATCTCAGAGAACACTGAATACTACATTTTCCTGTTTAATTACATCACTACATCCCAGCGTAACAGTGTTAGCTTTCAACATGGCTCATAAATCACACAACAATCTTACCTCAGGGCCTATTTAGTAGCTGTTTTGGCACTCTCAGTCATATCACATGATCTTCATCAGCAGATGGAGTTGTTATGGGAATTGTAGATGTTCACATTTCCATCTTACTGGACACTTCTCATCAATGTTTGCTTGAAAAATTGTCCATGTATAATTATAAACCCAAGAGGGTTTATATATAAACCCTTCTGGGTATAAACCCAAGCTAGGGTTCAGGACCTGGGGTCCCATGATGAATCTTAAGGGTCATGATTTCTTACGTTTCTCAAATGTTAGCTTTTTTTCTTGTGAAATACTGAAATACATTTTGACCAGTTTAGGCCTCCTAAAATCCACCAAATAAAACTATCTCTGAAGCAAAAAATCACTCTTTGGTAGAACCGCTCACAACAAAGTCATATTCACACTAAGGTCACAACCTATGATGAGGGGTTACAAGTTTTAGAATCATAATCAAAAAAGAGGTTATAGGCTACCACCCTGGTAAGAAGGCTGATTCAGATCTGCTGCTGGATCAAATCTAGACATAACAATCCTCCTGCATGCGCTAACACATCTATCCCATCTGTTTCTTTTAAATTTCTGTCCAGACTTGCTCACAAAACTTGTCTTTTCACTCGTGAATCTGAGTCTTTGCGTCCAAATCTCAGCTCACTCAGTAGAGTCCACATCTAATAGAGAGAGAGAGCGCCATTAGAAAGAGAGCGAGAGACATCCACATTAATAAGGCAGAGAGTGAGAGAGCGCAACATGTAGCTACACACCAACAGGGATACAAGGACAGACAGACAGATATATACACATAAATATACACACACACTGACACCCCTCTGTGCAATAGTAATTTGTTTACAGTTGATTAAATATTCATGCTGAATTAGCTGTGAGCCTGCCAACAGTCACTTCATTTGTGTGTGTGTGTGTGTGTGTGTGTGTGTGTGCGCATGTGTGTGTGTGGGTTTGTGCCCTTCTCAGCCTCCCTCCACCTGTAACTGTCGGCCAACGGCGTGGAAAAGACAGACACATGCACAGGAAGAAGTGCGCACACACACCTGCTGGATTCCCCCGCCGATCAGGTGATAGCGTTACTGTGTTCTGCTCTTTCCTCCGGTTGCCCTTGACAACAGCGAGAAGTGAAGGGCGAAAGGATGGAGAGAGGAGGGAGTGATGAGGAAGACCAAGGGCAAAAATGCATATGAACAGAACAGGCTTCGTAAGAATCACATGTAGGACTGCAACTGTAATTTTTGATTCATCTGATCCGATCATTATTTTCTAAAACCATCATCCATAAAAATGTCAAAATGATTTTAAATCATGTCCGTCCCAGTTCCCCAGAATCTTGTTTTGTCTGACAAACTTAAAAATACTCACTTTGCAATGGTATAAACAGAGAAACGCAGCAAATCTTCACACTGGAGGAGCTGTAATCAGAGAATGTTTGACATTTTCACATGAAAAATGGCTCAATCAATTAATCAAAACATATATTTTCTGTCAATTGATTGCTTAATTCACAGAGTAATTCTTCAGCTCTAATGACATCATTTGATGTTCTTATTTGGCATTTTTATCCCACCAAGTGATTGCTATCCTCACAGGACTGGAGTGCTTGTTGTGTTATTGTTTTCATTCCTTCCTGTCTCCAAAAGCTAATGCTAATAATTTACAATTTTCTCCAAATCCGGGAAGGAAGGAAAGCAATAAAACAGAACAGAGGAATAAGAAGTGATACTCTCTCGCTCCGTCTCTCTCTCTCTTTGTGTCACACACACCTCCTTCGAGCTCTCCCAGAGAGCTGCTTACAGGTTGTCAAATGTCCTCTCCTCCCCATCCAAGTGGCACGCAGCGGGAGCAGCAATCAGAGCCGAGCAATAAAAGAAACTGATAACAGAGAGATAATTAACAGCTCCGTGTTACGTATCAAACTGAGGGCAAATTACTGCACCGTCATTATCATCATGCAAATAGGAACATACTGTCGCACATCCTGTACTAATCTTTCACAAGCAGTTATCCTCCATCCCTATATTTATCTCTTTTATAATGCGTGGCTAGCACTTTGCAGGAATTGCTTCTGCTTTGTCTTCATATAACTGCTGTTTGCAGGGAAAATACACATTATTCAGTAGTTCTGTAAAAGCAGCAGGTTTAGTCAAACAGCTAATTTTCTACTCTGATCCTTTTCTACACATTATTTCATATTTTAAGTTTGTGGTTGCATGAAAGTATGTTTCTAAAAGCCTCTTCAATGGCTGAACATCCCCATGTTGATCTTTAAATGAATAGTTCTGGGAAATACGCTCATTCATTTTCTTACCAAGAGTTAGATGAGAAGACTGATGCCACGCCAAATATGAAGCTACTGCTAACAGCTAACTGTAAACAGGGAGAACAGCTAGCCTGGCTTTATCCAAAGGTAACAAAATCTGCTTACAAGCACCCCTAAAGGTCAAAAAGTAACACATCATATTTTGTTTGTTTAATTAATGCAAAATTCAAAGCGTAAACGACACGTTGTGCAGTCTTTACGCTAAACGGAGCTAGCTAGCTGCTGGTTGTAGCTTCATAA